CTTTATGCTTCCATCCCGTTTGCATGTTTGTGTGTGCGCGGATGTCTAATGCACATATATCTGTTTCTGTGTGTGTGTGTGTGTGTGTGTGTGTGTATGTGTGTGTGTGTGTGTGTGTGTGTGTATGTTTTCAAAGTGTCTATGTGATTGAGGATATTTTTGTATGTCTGAATCAAATGTGTCTATTTCCTCGAAAATATCTGGTAACTTGCCCAGTAAATGCATATTGTTTTATTCATAGCTTTAACTCACTGTTAATAACATTAGAGGTATTTGACACAGAATGCCATTTTCATAGCATAATATATGGCGGGCTATGGGGCTGGGCGGTATGACTTAAAAAATTATATGAGGGTATATTTTGAATATAGAACTTTAACTAAAAAACTGAATGACAGTGTAATATTTTTGCTGTTACTGTTTGTATAGCTGTAATGTTTTATATTCAATCCCATGCTTTGGGAGAAAAACCTTTAACTGCCTGCAATGAGCTATTGATAAATATAACAGCGGTTGTGGAGATAACGCTTCATACATAATGAAAGCTGAAGCTATTTCAACTATCATATGCAGCATGTATATCTGTTGTGGCAGTAAATTGCTGATAACTCCAATGTCTAACACGTCCAATGTTGGGGTTTTGTTTTGAATGGGTTTTTTTTGTTTTTTAACATACATACTGTGAATCTAGTGGGGTATTTTTAAACATTGCCTTAAAGTCTTTTAACTGCCATGTCTTAACATACATTAGATGCACAGCTGGATTTTGCTATTATATAAATATGACCAGTTTTCAGTGAGTAAGCCAAATTATGTTTACACGGAGCTCGAAATCTACTTGTGTCTGAGTCAGAAAGCATTCTCAAACATTCCTAATATCTGGTGAATTTTGACAAAGCAGTTGGTCTGTGCACTCTACAGATTTTATATTCAGTCAACTTCTCTCAGAAACCAGAAAAACAAGTGCCCCATTAATATTTGTCTTTACACTAGAATACTGCAAATACTTTCAAGATTTCATTATTGCAGATATTTCAAAATAACAAAATGTTTTTTAGTATCTACACATTTTTGAGCTGCCTCTGTCCTATGTCTTAGCAGTTTGTTATTAATAAATTGAATAACTTAAATGAATAACATGATTACATGAATTGCTTTTCAGAATATGTTATGTAGTTTAGATTCTATACTAATGCAAACAAAATAGCGTTCTTTATTCTTTTTTTTATTTCTTTTTAAAATAATTCTAATGTATGTCATACCGTCCACCCCCATAACAGGCACCTTTCCATTAAGCCTGATACTGTATAGGAATGACTTGGAGTGCCTGAATAGAGAAGTTGCAGTGATAAGCACAGATTTCATTCATTCTCTGTTTTACATACAATTAAAACGTTTTAGTCTTGATGATATCTGTGACTGCACTGCATTATACAGTCATTTGCATATTCCACTCAGGATTCTCAGAAATCCACACAATATAAACACAACTAACACTTTGTAAAAGAACAAAAACATACGAAAGAAAGTTTAAAATGACAGTCACAACATTGAAGAATATTGAGTCTTATAATTTATGTGCCAACTTTTATTGATAGAATCTATTAAAGGTTGTCACAACAGTGACCTACACACAGACAACAGCAATATATTGTACTAATCTCCATCTCCTATATCACGAGCTGGTATAAGTCCCAGCTGAAAGCAAATATTTGAATGTTTACATTCCTAACTGACAGAAATCCTGTTTTATAGAAACATAAAAATGGACAAACTGAATCACTGCTTCCCAATTTATACACTTTTTAGAGTGTATATAAAAACTTAAGAAAAAATGTCTATTAAATAGTTGTAAAGCTTTACATATTCTATTCTAGCTAAGTCTCCAAAGTAATGACTTTACCTCAACAACGGTGTGCAAAACTGTTTGCACCTCAAAACAGAGATTCATATTCTAATGTTAATGTAGTGGAGATCGTGTGAATATAATGGAAATGGGGAAAAAAAACATATATAGTGCAGATATTATAATGATATTAAAACTGTTATAAGGAATGTGTGATTGTGTATTTCACTATTAAGTTGACTAGAGAATCTTGAATGTTTTTAAAATATATATTCTCCTAGTAAAATACTTGGTCACTCTTTAATATCAGTCCAGCATGTACACTTTGTTATTGTCAGAATGTCCCATGATGATTCAACTTCAGTTTACTACGATAATGAGACAGCAGTGTCACAAGGTGATGTCTCAGTAACTGTTAAACGGGAGGGTTCCAAATCTGGTGGCTTGGCCTGACCTGGGTTTTGGCTCTGTTAAAAAAAATAATAAAAAAAATAAATTGTGTACAGGTCTATATTTAGGTCTGTTAAGATCTATGATTTTATCATTTGTTGTCCATTATTATGGATGATGTACTGCATAATTTCATCAAATATTAATGGCACATCTTTAAAGTCACTGTAATATGTTCACAACCTTGTGTTGCTCTGTGCTGGTCAATAAAAGCTAAAATTGTCACTTCGTACAATCATGTGCTAAAGAATAATAAAGTGATTACAAAATTTTGAGTTTTTTCATTAGCTTTTTCACATTTCCTGGTACACTGCTGTCTGCGTGTAATCATGCATGTTTAAGTTACAGGGTTTGTTGACCCATAAGGTGATGGCAGATTAACATTTAGGGCAAATTTACTGCAGTTATCACCAGACAGGTTTCATCAGCAATATAGTATATATTGTGGTGTAGTATACTTACTATTCAAAACAGTTTACAGTTAAAAAAATATATATAATGTGCTAGATATTGTGCACTGCTGTTTTCCACCTCAAGCTATGAATTTGCCCTGAATAGTTTCTGTTATATCACTTTACATGTTAGTGGACATCAAGTTATGCTTGCACTGCGCTGCCTCTAAACAAGTGGCAATGTATTTCAAATAAATATATATGAAAATATCAAGTTTTTGTCCTTTTTTTAACTATCCATCCATTAGCTATACATGTTTGTTCTGATCATTGCAAAAATGCAATATGTTACACATCACTTGGTACCTTTTGGGTTTTTGTTTTTCTTCATTTCATATTTCCTTCTTACTTATTTACACACCAGACAAAATTATTTGTTACACTGATTGTTATGTTACTTTCCTGTTACTCCATAACATGAAATGCACTGTCACATTATTACCAGTTAATAGTGTTAAGCTTGAGCTACTTATTGACTCCCTGGCACAAATCCCAACAATTTGTCTTCTAGTGTTTGTTTGAACACACAGAAAGAAAGTCGGAATTCTGACTTTTTTCTCAGAATTCTGAAAAAAAGATGCCCCCACTTTTTTATTCCAGTTGCTCTAATCGTCTTCTATACAGAGCTGAAAATACAAAGCAAAGCTGAAAACCAGCCCGAAGACATTTTAAAGCAATCAACTACAATTCTACACTGTAGTACCATGTACAGGGAGAAATGTAAGCCAATGTGCTACAAGCCTGGCTGCTCATCACTGCTTTTGTTACCTGATAAAGATCAGGCTCTGACTGCTGGGCTGAGGTTGGCATACATTAAATCTGCTTTGATAGCTTCCTGTTAGTATGTTGTGGTATGTGGGATTCTGTTACCATTAGCTAAAATTGGCTAATTCTATTCAAGGCTACCACTAGCAAAATAACATGAGTAGCATAAATTTGGCTAATAGCTAACCTAACTTTATATATATTTATTGTTTTCCAATTTATTGTTTTCTGTGTATTAATAAAGAAAACACTTTCTTTGTGAAATGTTATACTAACAAAAGTATTTGTTTCTTTTCTTCCCACATTGCAAAGCTAGGACATCACAACAAAGTGATTGGTCAGGTGCAATGTTGATCTTGGACCAACATTATTATGACAATGCAGGATCAACACCAAGATGGGAAAGCACATTATGCATTATCAAAAATGTTGTGTGATTACAGGAACAAGTAAAAATCAATATAGCACCAGTTTTCACAAGCATGATAAAATAACTCTCGCGTTTTGCTGCAGTCTATTTACAGTCCTGGAATCGCCTCATGTCTTTGCACTGAGTGGAAAACAAAGTCACCAAAGAAAACTGGCAAGGATACAGACCTACATGCAAATGCCACAGTAGGAACCCCTTTTTCAGAGTCAAAGCTAACCTGTGTTATCAAATCCTTCATCCATTAACACCGCTAACAGCTGTAACCATGTTGCAACTTATAGCATCCCATCATTCACCTCTCTGCCTTTGACAGTACTGCGCAGCATATTTTCTTTTACTACTATGCTACGCCACCAAGTGAGTATCTTTCAACTGTTCCAAGGATCTGTTCTTTACACTATGATAGCTCAAGTACACATTAAATGAGCAGTAATTAGTCTCAAAGCTAGAAAGCCAAGCTGTACTCTAATCTCATCCAAGAGGACAAGTTGGAGCTGCTCCACTGAGAATCAATCAGAGGTGACTTTGTTAATGAAGATTAAAGGATGCATTCAGTGTCTTTACTACAACGCAGACAAGAAGCAAACCTACATCAAACCACGCACAGATTGTTTTGATCTATCTTAGACGCAGAACGGCAGTTTCAGTAATACTTCGATTTTGAAATAATGTTTTCAGCTCTGGAAGAGCTTTCATAATGACAACAGTGCAACAAATCTGACACTTCAAACTACAAAGGTGATACAGAAATGTCAGATTAAAAACCATGGTCGAGAAACCAAAAGCACAAGTCCACAGAGAAACAGCTAATAACAGCTGTGTATAGTTTGACAAACATTCCTATGATGTATAATAGGAGATTTAAATGTTCTTGTGAAGTTAATCACACAACATGTGGGACATATAAAACCAAACAAAAATAAAAACTTAAAGACAACAAAATGATGAGTTTAAAGGGTCTGGCTACAGTGCTACTGCACAAAACTTATTTCTGCAAACAGTTTTTATACTTAAACCTTTTAGACACCAAGCTACCA